TTGAAATTTACAAAATCTTGCAAAAATGCGAGCAAAAATGAAATATATTTGCAAGAAATTTATCAATCATCAAATCAAGAAATATTTGCTATTTCGTAGTGATGGGCGATTACCGATTACTTGGTATCGATACCACCCGATACCAGGCCCAAACAGGAAGTAGTCGATACTACACGGTATCGAAAAAGTGTTTCGATTACATTTAAAATTAGACATTCATTATAATCCTGCAGTTGTGTCATCATTTTCATGGTTATTTCTAATAAAATTTATGTATTTTTTGGTATTTTGCTGCATTTATCAATTTAATCAAACTTCCTTTATACTTTATTTGACATTCTATTCTCGCCGACAGAATAAATTATGAAAAAGGCGGGAAATAAAGTGTTTTTTTTTATGGATTAAAATGGCGGATCAAATCGTTACTGTTAAAAAATGTAACTTTTTGAAAGTTCAGGAAGTAATCGTTTGGGTAATCGATACCTCGATACTTTAACCAAAAAGTAATCGGTATCGTATCGAAACCGATACTGGTGGTATCGCCCATCACTACTATTTCGCTGTCGTCATGAAGTCGTTATAATACAAACTTTAAATTGGACCAATCAGTGTCCGCAATTCATGACAGTCCGCCATATTTTTGAGATCAGTGAGGATGACCACCCACCGAAACATCGTTGGTGAGCCACGCCCGCGATATTTGATGAACTTTAGACACAGATGAGGTAAAAACAGATGTGAATCTCACGGCAAATTATGTCACACCGATTAAATAAACTTTAAAATTGTATTAATTCACTATTTTATTAAATTTTGATAATGCAGAGAAATAAAACTATACATATTATAGAAGTATTCATGTTTTTTTTATGCCAGAGTTATGTTTTGAGGCATTTATATCATTCGCTGTTTTGTTATTATACATGAGCATCTGAAATTCCCAGCAAGTGTATTTCACGATTTTAATAAGGAATAGATAGGGAAAAAAACAAACTTTTGCTAAATAAAATGTTATGTTAACACTTTTAATAAAAAGAAATCAATAAAAGTGATCGCTTACCGATACTCTTGAAGAATTAATTCCAAAAATAGCCGTCGGTAGCGTAAATTTTTTAAAAAAACAATTTTTCGTCTTTCGAACGGCGTTTTCCTATCTCTTTCCTTATTAAATTTCAGAACGACACTTGCCAGCGCTCGCCGGAAGTGAGAATTCCGTGTGACACAAAACAATAAGCAATTTGACGGAAGATTCACATCTGTACCTACCTCATCTGTGCTTTAGACTTCGCTAATGCTTTCGTTTCCCCGGGTGTAAATAGCCGGGGGGAATTAGTACCCTCGCACGGCGCTTCGCGCCGTCGGCTCGGGGATAAACATAGTCCGACACAAAATCTATGATTCCACCGCAAATAATTATTAATGTCGCGAGAATGGCAAATGCACTTTACAACATAACATAACATAACATAACACGACATAAATACATCATGTATTAACCTCTATGTTTGATAACTTAGGTTTTAGTCAGTATCGGCCGAATTCAAATTTCATTGCAATTTAATACCGGCAAACTTCAAGAATGAATTTTACCAAAAAACAAACGCGCTCTTTTTAGTACTTGTCCGTGCAGCGCCCTGTCGTAGGAAAGCCAACGCTCAGAATGCAGGAAATGGCATTTCATATGTGAGGCTCAAATTTCAAAATATGCTAATAGCCTAATACGTAGATGTTTGTGTTTCCAACAACGGGAACTAGAACCACTTCGAGCGAGACGACAGACTCATGTGTATTTCGGTATAATGTTAAAGCCCAAATACCATGTCTTCAATTGTCACCAGTATATTGAGTTCCACTGTGGGTTTATTGTGGAACAAAGCCCGAGATGCGACTGCTAAAAAGCTGAAGGACGGTGATATTACAGATGAAAGAAGTTATTGGAAAATTGTTTTCGTGGTGAGCGAAAATATTTAAGTGGCTCGGAATTAAAAATTACGATATGTCGGAAAATAATCATTTGTCATTCTTTCTAAAACAAGCCTCTTTCAAACTCAAATCGCACCACAAAGCACGCAACTCAATGAAACCACATCCCTTCTTAAACAAACCTCTTTCAAACCGCACGTCATTCAAACCACATCCTTTCTTAAACAAACCTCTTTCAAACCTTCTAAAAGGCGAACACTTTCCTCAAACCAAATAAACCAAAACAAACCAAGAGATATGCCTGATTTAGCAATCATAAATGAACATTGCTTCATGTAAAATATCTCAATTGACAACACTCCTTTAAGCGACACCAAAGCTTATAGGTATTAATACTATAGTTTCCATACCATGTCTTCGATTGTCACCAGTATATTAAGTTCCACTGTGGGATTATTGTGGA